TACAATTCTCAGTAGTGTAATTATTTACCATTAAAAAAAAACAATATTTTTAAAATAAGATGAACAAATATTAAAATTTACTAGGTACTTATTTATATTATCTAACGGCTAATGTTATTTAGTGTTTTAATACTAAACTATATATTTTCATAAATTAAGAATTAAGACATTTTTTTTTTTTTGAAAGTTAAAGAGTAGGGTAATTATACATTTATACTTATACAATATTTATCTTAGGATAAATTCAATAAGTATATTTGTTATATCATATTTGGAACGAAAGCATGAATCTATTATTTGTTATGTGGACTATATAGTCAATAAACATATATTTTTAAAATCTAAGAAATATTTTCTCAATAGGTACCAGTTTTTGAAAAATCTATTTTTTTTATAAATTCATTAAATAATAACAGCAGGAATTTTAAAACATCACCAAATATTTATCACATGATAAAATTATAAAAATATTTGGACTATAATTAATTGTATACATTTGATTTTTTTCGATTTGCGTTTATGAAATGTTTATTTCTAATGAAAAAAGTTTAAGAACAAAATGTAAGTTTCTTTATAAAGAGTTCTTACCGCAGTTAAAAAATAATTAAAGTAATTAGGCATTTGTAGATAAAAATTTTACAAAATTGGTTCTTTAAACAAAAAATAATGATTTTAGTTATTTTGTTGCAATTCAAAAATGTATAGTTAATAGTAAACTTGAACCATTATTTTTATTAAGTATAATATTGTTTTCTATGTACATACAATGACATTTAAAAAATATTTAGACAAAGTCCAAGCTATTTATACCACGAACATATTATTCACACCATTCTACGGTATGACACTCATCGGTATCAGTTATTAAGTTAATAACAATTGTAAGTATTTAAATTAAAAATATAATAAAACATATTAATAACTAATAGTACAATATATGTGATATTTTTACATTGAAACAAGTACTTTTTCTTATAATTTTTATAGTTTAAAAAACGTTGTCACTTTAAAATCCCTTTCAACAACTTTTGAAAACTGTATTCTGAGTAAGTGCCATTCACTTTAAATTCCAAATCCCGAGGAAAAATTTGTTTTTTTAAACTCTTTTAAGTATATAAAATATCAAGTTTATTATATATTTTTTTATTACTAAGTTCTCTTATATGTAAAAAGTATTTTAAGTATGAAAAATAAAAAAACGAATAATTAAAAAAAAATATTCTATTTGGAGTATGAAAGTTACAACGGTTATATTGTTTCTTTTCTCGGAAACGTATTTATACTTTGTATGTAAATCAAATACTATTCAAACTATTGGACTGTTCGTAGAAAAAAAGGCATTAGAATAAACGAAGAAAATCTCAATAAACTTTTGTACAATTTTTTTTTTTATTTGATAGCAAAATCGGTCTTGCTTATTTAAAGAATATCTCAATATTTACCTGAAACAATCTCTCTGAATACGCATGCTACATCTACAATTAATAATTCAATGACAAGTACTTATTGCACCCTAAACATTATTTTTTTTATGAATATTATTATTGGAAACTTATTATTTATATATTTAAACTCGTTTACTGATTTATTGCAACATTTTACCTAATAGTAAAAATAGAAATAGTCCAAATCCAGACTAATTAATGTTATATAGTCAAAATTAGAATACAACAATTTCGTTGTTTAACAAAATACCGGACACAATATTATGATACTTATTAGTTTTAATGTTACAAAATAGTATACAACATAGTATATTATGTATGTGTTGAGTTCAGAATCATTATCGATAAACTTGAGTTCTAGAAGTATGATGTCTTAAATAATTTTTAACTTATTGTGAACTACGCAGATACTTACTGAAATTGTTGTAGGTATGCACAAATAATAATTATTATTACCTTTGTATTTATTTTTTCTAAATACCTAAGTACTATATAAAATTTTTGTAAAGTTTATTATAAAGTTATATGTGCAACTTATTGTTATGTAATTTTTTTTAATACAACGGTCTATGCTAGATTTTTATCCTTTTTCAACTCAAATTATGAATTAATACATTTAAACATTTTCCATAAGAACCGCATTCTCTTGGAATAATACAAACTTTTAATTTTAAAATGATTCATAGTAGTATTTTTAATTTATATTTAAATTAAATATTTTTAGTTACTCTCATATACAAACATATCAAATATCTGATTAACGTTTTATCCATAAAAATGTTATATTATTATCAGTTATAATTTATATGTATCAAGAGTTTTGACACTAGACAGGATATGATAGTGCTCAAATATTATTTTAAATGTTAATCCATCACTACAGTATATTATAGGTTTATAATATAGTGGATTAAACTTATATTGTATCTATACATATTACATTATGCAATCATATGGCATAGAACGTACTACTTAAAAATTACCAAAAGCAAATTTCAATAGGTGTATTGTATCAAAATGATAATAACAAAATATTGTTGTACCTGCAAGTCTACATGACACCATATAGATCGTTTATTTACCATGGCATTTTCCAACGGGTGATTAAAAATTTAAATCAAATTCAACGTGGATACAATTTTAAATTGCATTATAAAATACGAATATATCAAACCACTCAGGTCGAAAATGATACATAGGTAGGTATATAAATGCAATATCACCCCGCAACATTATTTGTAATTGCCGTTATACATTACTTCTACTGAAACCATTTATCTCTGCGAGGTTTAGTATAGTAAAAGTTCTTTAGTAGACTGTCATAGGATATTAAGTTAAATTTACAATGCTTTTACGTCCATGTAATATTAAGTATTAACTATATAAATGGGGCACAGCGACCAATCTTCTGGTATTAGCTATAAATTAGGTAGTTGGTATTGATTTAAAATTCAATGTCAGAAACTAAAACACAATACAAAATGAAGCGATACATTTTTAATAAACCGAGTTCATTTTTTTTTTTATTAATATTTTATATCCTTAGCGGCATAAGCCATTGGATGGACATAATCATATTACATTGTAATACATATTTTAATACAAACAAAAAAAATTAATTAGAAATTTTTTTTAAAATTTGGTTGGGCAGCAAATATGAATTTTAAAGCGGTACAAATTGATTGAAGATGATTGAGTTGTTCAGTATTTAATCGGATGAGTCTTATAGTTAAATTATTAAAGACTTGCAAAATATACAGTTTATGACTTGCGTTTTTCCCTTTTTTAAGGTGATAGACCATAGTCCATAGGTGTTAATTATCAGTGTTTGAATTTAAAAATATCAGAAATTGGATTTTCCAAAATATAAAAATAGTTTGCATATTTGAAGATTGATTATAATATAATTATGTAGGGACTTTAAAATGTGTACTCTCACCCGCTCCGATTCCATTACAATTTAAGTTCTGATTGTTATAACTTATAGCAACAAACTTATTTATTTTAATTTATTTATTTTTGTTTTGTTTTTAGAAAAAAGAAGGACCTTTAATAAGAGTATTATTATTTTATACTTTATAAAATTATATGATGTAGGTAGATTATGGATGAGGTATTATGAACATTACAAAACGTCGAACTTAAATTATTGTATTATTTCAAAAATTAACGGCGTAAATAGATGCAAAACATTTAGTAGTTGTGTATTATTGGTATACCATTATGTTAGGCGAAGTTAGTGTATTTTTATTTCTTTTGGTTATCGCTTTGCAAATAAGACTATCGATAGGATATAAAACATTTGTATATAATTTTAATATTAAATAATCAAATTTTCTAGTTCTAGTTTCAAAATTTGTGATTTTTATCAGGAATACGTATTTTATTTTGGTTTGCTTACAAACAGCTACTCGTTATAGAATAAATCAAATAAGCAGCGTGTGTAGGTGGTCGATTACTATAAAAGGCCTATTACACCGTCTCCGCGTATTCCGTGTGAACCATTTGGTTAACCCTTTGCCACAATTTATTAAATAGTTGAAAATATTTAACTATTCCACAGTGAGTTAGGTATGTTTATACAAATGTCGTTAATAATGTGTAATGACTATATAATGAAATCGATTTACCTAGACAATACAATTTAATTATTTGAATAATGTGAAAATTCTGAACACGGGCCACACGGTTTACATGGACACGTAATATAACCCCTTAAGCGTTTTACGCGGGAACTGGGTATTTTTTACGGGTTTGTCGTCAAACGCCGCATTAACCACCGTTTGGCGCCGAACCTCGGCTATAAGGATAATCAATTTAATAATTGCTGAAATGCGTGTACCGGAGCAATATATAAAAATCGTGAAACCATTTGCGGGGCACTATAAATCATTAACGATTTTTCAGCCGCCAATTATGCGTGCGGTGTATGGTAAGGTACCGACTAATACACCTATAGGTATATACAAAACCTGGTTAGGTAATATTTTGATACCACGAATCACTGTATTATATTATACACGCACAGGTTAAGACTTTAAACATAATAATAATATAATCGTGTATATAAAATGATGTGTGATATTTTAACGGGTTTATTCTCGTTACAGGTGCTGAAAAAAAGATTGGCTGGAAAACGGGACGACAGGCGACGGTGCCGGTGGCAGGTCTACTCTGCCACTGGTACGTCGCCGATCGACGAGCTGCTGCAGTGTTATAATTATTACGACAACGAGGCTGTCGATAATATGATCAACGAATTCATCGACAACAGGCAGAAAACCACTGTCGGTCGTCCGACGTGAGAAAAACCACGCCACGCACAATAATAACACTATTATTATTATTATTTTTATACTTCATATAATATATACCTATTATAATATTATTATGTCCTATAGTACACGCACGCATTTCCAATATTATATCAATTTAATATTTTGACATATATATTTACAATAATCGTGTGACGACGACAGTACAAATAATGATCGAAATGACAGTAATATACTAGTATAATATTGTCAATCTTAATAAATACGTTGCCAGACTTACCCAGGACGTAGATTTTTGTGACGATGGACTATCTATTCCTATCTCACGCCACCGCTGTCATACCGGAGATCGCACGCGACGCAGACACACCACAATCGAACAACCGCGAGTTGGCCAAACGTTGAGCGTTCCGACCGGAGACGGCGTTACTACTGGTGGCGGTACGCTGGTAGTGCGGCGCGACTGCTGTGGCGGTCGCAGCGTCGGTCGATAATCGAATAAGTTTATAGTGTCCGTGGGCGACCGACTGCCGCCGCCGCCCGGCATGCGCCGTGAAGACCGGCAGACAAACGCGCATATTACGCCGCTCGCGGAATACCTGATACACGGTATAGCGATACACCCGTCAGTGACGCGTGAAAAGTTCTCTACTCCTCCTCCGGTCGATGTCATTTGTTGTTTTTGAAAGGATCGGCCTGAATGAGCGGCCAGAAAATTAACCGCAACACCGAAACAACCGCGTAAACGACACGCGACCTTTGATCGTAACCGTGGTCAATCGCGCGAATCGCTACCGCGGTATGCGTGCCAATCTATTACACCTGTATTCTATTACATCTGTAGATAATACCTATGTTATATCCTTATTATACTATTTGTACATCTTCTACCCAGTAGGTATATTTACTATTATGAACAAAATAAGTTACTGATAAATCCATAGAAATTAGTTCGAAATTGCATTGTTTAATATATTTACCAATGAACATTATTAACTATTAATTCATTGGAGTTATTTTTATTTAAAGTTTTAAAGCCAAAGATTGATGTATCAAAATTATATTGTTTTATGTTTTTGTTTTAATCTGAAATTTATTTAAATTCACAAACTAAAGAATATGTTTGTAACTTTATAAGTTCTCAAAATACCTATATACATGTATCATATTACTATTCATTAGTATACTATAATAATATATTTTTTAAATGTTTTAAACTTTCTCAAAATATATATTATAATCAATAATATAAGTATGATAAAAACAAATCACCTATATTATAAAACCTGTTATAATCTTCTTAAAGAATAAATAAATATATTATACACATCATTTGCAGGGTCTACAACTAAATTGCATGAAAACAACAACACTTGGCTATTTAATCAAATTAACCATGTTCTAGATGGACACTAATAACCACTATTGATACCTTTCTGGTACAGTGATTCAATGATGTATTTGTTACTAATCTTCGATAATGAAGCATTTAAGTTCAGAATCAAGTTGATATACAATACTACTATATAGAACATGGTCAATATTAGTAAAACTGTTGAATGGATGGATCTATATTTATTCTGTTTACTGATTTTTTTAAGATGAATAGTTGCTCATCTAATCCTTACTGATTTTATGTCGTTTGCGGCTACAATAACCAACACCATTCAATGATTTGAGCCTTTAGCTGTTTTTATCATTATTTATTATATAATGAGAAACCAGAGAAAATAAAAAATATTTTATTAATAATTGTACATTACTTTAGTATATTGGCTGATTATGATAATTCAACTTATACCTAGTTTTGTAGTTAATTTCCGTCTTAGCAGTCACTATTATAATAAATAAATATTATAAACATAATATATCTACCCATATGCACAAACATCTGATTTTTCTTAGTGGGAGACTGGAGTACACCATAATATTGAAAAAAAATATATGGTGGCCTATTCTCCATTTCACATATTCATTGAAATCAATACGAAATGTATTATATTTTATTGGCAAATAATTCATTTTTAAAGGAGTTAATTGCGAACCTTATTTTTTAAGGCGTATTTGATAGGCAATTTTTCTAACACGTATGGTTACGTACTGCACTGTTGTTCGAGTACTGAGCTACGATCATTAATAATATTATGTGAGTGGCTCCATAGTAAAATAAATACAAAAAAAAAAAAATAATAGTAATAAATATTATTTATTTTATTATGAGTGGCTCTAGCAGCACACAACCAAAACATCACCCGCATGATTCACTGCATTCAATAAAATATAATATTTTGTTCCTACTGCAATATAAATTAATTTACACATAAAAGCCTGACAAAAATACGCTTAGCGCGATTGCATTTTTATTCTGTTAAAATATTTGTGCATGTTGGCCTTCTTTTAGTTTATTGTAGAAATCGATTGTTGAATTAAATTGTTCTATTGTTCTATTCTATAAAAAAAAACACTATAAACTTATATTCACTATTTGAGAAATCAAAATAAGATAGTAACAAATATTACTATAAGAATTTAAAATTCGATCAAATGGTGTATTATTTTAGTTGGTACATAATTTCTCAAACAAATTTGTCTAAATATTTGTATATCAAATTATTATTATATTTTAATATTAGGCCCATACTAGCATTACATAATATCATTGTCCCTTTCTTTAATCATAACACAAATAATATAATTGATTATGATCGATAATTTTTAATTTTAAAATCTATTTAGACAAAAGTATAAGATTTATACAATCAAATGTCATATACTATGACATAAGATAAATAACACGTGGACGTCGCTGCCGCTCCTGTGCTCATATTCTTTGACAGCGCCTCCTTTTGTGAGGTTGCGATAGCGAAAACCATTTTCCATATCATAATAAGTTGTCATTGTTTTTAAAGCCACTAAGTAGGAATTTAATTTGAACTATTATAAGTATTTAACAGTGAATTAATGTTATCAACAAATAATAGTGCAATACTATTTTTATTAGCCGGTTTTTGTTAGATATTTAGGTATGCTATGATGTGATATGATATTCTAAATTTGGTAATTATTAGTGAAATAATATTAGTATTTAGAAACAACCTCCAACAATTACAATAAAATATTAAACTACAAAAATATTAACAATGCTAACTGTTCATAAGGCACTTTATTTCAACAATAATAGTTCTATACATTTTCTTAGTGCAAAAATACACTGGTCCATACAAAATTTTTTTAACATATTAAGCATAATAATAAGAAATATAAAAAAATAGACAATAAAAAATAAAAAATATCTTAGTTGTTTAAAAAATAATAATATCAATTATTATCAGAATATAATATATATACTATATATGTTTTATATGTAAATATAAATCTTGGTAACCAATAATATTATTACGAGTATTCTAAGCATATAAAATATCGTTTTATGCCTTTATACAATATTGGAAGTTCATTAATAATAATAATTATATATACATAAATATATATAAATTATGCACAAGACATTTTAATATGGTAAAAATATACAAATCATATCCTATTCAAGATAAATACATTGATTACAAAAGGCACTTACATTTTAGAGAATATTACATTTAGAGATCAAAAAAGGGCGTGCATTTGGGTGTGTATTGCACATACGAAATCATCAATCAATGTTTTGTTCTTGTACATAGTTGTCGCAAACAAAATTACGACTCTTATGAAAATAATAATACTGTATATCGATAATAATTATTAATTAACATTTTTCTCTTTTTCATTTACACATTCATGATTGTTGTAATCGTGATTGAGAGGAATAAACTTCTCACTATTAAAATTAATGACACACTATCAATCCCAGTACAATTCGATTTCATATTATTGTTATTCGTGTCCATTCACAAAAATAATAAAACTAAATAATAACGATAATAAATCACGCTAATACATCGAGTATGATTTACATTGAATTACTTATATATGTATAGTATATAAAATAATTTACAAGTCCTTGGGAAAATTTGGTCCTCTTCAAAGTTCAAAGTTCGCCGGCAAACATCACGGCATTTGCTGGCGTCAACGCGAATTATCCTTCACTCAAAATTTGTTAGAGTCACTCGATAATAATATTGTAACAGTTATCACAATAATAATAACAATAATAATAATATTACAACATAAAATCAATATATTATAATATATCTGCGTGTGTACCTATATATTTAAATTTTAACAACGACGCACGATAAAAACGTGTCGCGGAGTATAACGCGTCCGAAGAGTATCGTACTTATATAATATAATATACGTTATACTACTTCTAATAATAATAATAATTGTCAATAATAAGCTCATATAATAATTATAAGGAATGCGTCATATAGCGTTAGTTGATAGTGCTGACGACATTCGTAAACGGTAATGAACATCGGTTGACTTGCTCGGCGAAAGAGTTTATGCGAACAACCACTCCATAAGCATATTATACAGTAATAAGCTAATATTATATAAACATATGATTTACACATATAATATATATTATATTATTTAACTGTCGTTTTGATTAAATTTGAGATCTTTTATTCGCCCTGTCTCGCCGTCCAACCGTACCAATAATAATAATAATAATAATAATAATAACATAATATTGTACGCTGTACGCGCACATTGCGCAAAAGTCGTTGAAATCAGTCACTGTATTTCTCCATCGGGCCACATCCGGTCCGCGGGCGAAACGAAACCGGAAGCGGCGGTCGTGGCCGTCTCGTCCGTCAGCCGTACACACGCTTATTATATGTACGTTTTCTTGACCTTTTGCAGGGTCTTGTTTTCGACCGCCGAGTCCAAGTTCTTCTCGAGCGTATCGTTCTTGCACTTGGTCACGTTCACCAACAGGTTGAGCGGCGCCTTGTTGTTAGGACAAGGCAGGAACGGCGCGGTGCCGATCTCCGCTGCCCCGTTCATATCGGCCAGTCGGTTAAGCTGGTGATGGGCGTGAACGGCCATCGACGAAAACGGATCGGCGGCGTGCCGAAAGTACCGCGAGCACACGAAACCGGCCGCGAACCCGACGAGCAGCGTGGCCAGCACGCACATCATCATCAGCAGCCCTATGACGTCGCCCAGCGAGATTACGGGCATCTCGGACACCTTTTCGCTGACGCCTGTGCACAAAGGGCAAAAGAATAATATTATTTGAAATAGTCAACGAGACGATAAGGGCGATTGTTATTGTATTATCTTGTAGGATTATGATTGTGTTAATTAATAGTTACACGTGAACACGATGACACTTACTGTCGCTGTTGATTACGTTCTCGGTGTAGCAGGGCGCGCACGATGGACACCTCGGCACGTTCGAGTCGATGTTGTTATCTGTATAATATGTAAGATAAAGAGAATTAACGATAATCTTATACGAAATAATATGCTCATATGCAGACAATTTGATATCATTTTAATAATAATTCGAGATAAAATGTTTAGCGGTCAACTTACCGTCCAATGACGAAGAATGTCCGATCTTTTCGTCGAAAGGCACTGCAAAACGAAAAAGAGACGGAAGCGTTATTAGTCGGTTAAATATCATATTTTTTTATAAACATATTCTATAGGTACAATAAATTATAAATTATATGATATTGTAGTACATACCTTTCGGACAAACATTGCTCAGAGACGATCCGATAGACTGAACAAAATGTTGTTTGGACGTACTCTTGATCTCTAAATGGTTAATACAATGCACCCCGTCCCAAGCGCAGTACGGATCTTGTAGATCAATGCATTCTCTGTGGACAATCGAATCGTTAAAATCTCCATTGCTTATTCAATGTTGTAAAGTAGTGAAATAATAATAATTATCGCATTCTCACTGGCAAGTCGTCTTCAGATAGCACCGGTCCAGAGGCACGGAGATGATGTGTTGGTCGAATGTGACCACTATCCGTCCCGGCTTGCCATCGACTGACTTTATGATGTTCAACGTCCGGACCGGAAGCGGTTTCGTGTTGTTAGAGGTGAGATTCACTTCTTCGATGTTGACGAACTCGGGCAAACCGTTGTTGGTGTGTAATGCACCTTTGACCAATCTCCCGTCATCTGCCAACATATATAAATGGTTATAATATTATATTATATGAGTTACGGCGTATTACGAAATCGTAATGTATACAAAGATTACGAATT